TCCTTAATGTGCACAGCTGGCAGCTGAATGCAGGTTTGATACTAACAGTTTAGACATCTTTAGATGTAGCAGATGGAAAATTTTACACAAATAAAGTAGGAGAAAGTGTGCAATTAGGTTTTTATCTGCAGTTACATGATGCATCCTCTGTTTTAGTTTAGAACATCACCTTAGTGGGTGGTCATGATCTTTCCTTGTATCCAAGCTCTACCTTCTTGACACCACATTTGATATTGGCTAAATGCCCAAGTACCAAACTTTTGTTTTTGTTGAGTGTGAATGAAATAGAGAATGCAACAATCAGCAAAGCAAAAGGCATACCATCAGTGAGACTGTAACAGTCCAGTACGTTATGGTTACATTCCTTGCTAGTTAAGTCACTATGGTAAAATCCTTGGCAGGATTTTTTTCAATAGTTTATTCATGATGTTCATTATTATGAGTTGTAAAGAGTATGAGAATTTCATTTTTAAAATGTCTTATGGAATGTATCACTTTCTTAGATCTTGTAGACATGCTGTGGAAACCATAACATAAAATATGAGTTACTTACAATAACTAATTTTAATCCCATCTGCTAAGTATGACAACATTAGCATTTCCACTTAATTAAAAACACCCTTAAAGCAGCAATGTTTTAATCACTCCATTTTATTTACTCTCCTTCGGTGTCACTTATAATTGTAACTTTTTATTTTTTAATAATGAGGGATTTTTTTCTCCTTGCATCACACAAAAAAGTGCTGTCGATAATTAGCAGTCTTCTGTTATTAGTAGACTCAGGTGTCACAACTGTGTCTCATCCTCATTACAGTAAAAAATTTCACCTATCAGATTCATTATTGCTAGATAATGCGACTGAGAGCCTTTGCAGGCCCTCCAGAAAAGTAATTCAGCCAAGCAAAATTATCAGCTAATTATATTTAGAATCAAAAGCCCAACAACTATTTGCAGATAAATTGTATGAATTGGAGTGAATAGATCTGAATATTAAGATTCATAGATTTAGCAGATGATTTGTTAATTGGAATAAAAAGGTCATTTACTAGTCATTTTAACAATAGATCAATTGGAACCCTATTTATTATTTAACTGGTAGTGCATAAGAATTGAAATGATGAATAATTGTATTATTGTCATGAGATAATTTTCTTCAGAATAACAGAATATGAGAAACTTATGAGAATGAATTTTATAAATTTGTTTTAAAATTCTTTGGGCTGTTAAATATATCTTAAAACATAGCCCTGATCTAAATAATATATATAATGTTTAGTATTTTAACAAGTCAAAAATATACCCAAAAGAGATGGTTTTTTGTTTTGTTGTTTTTTTTTTGATAAATTTTAAACATAACCATGCATATGATAATTTATAAATAAAGATGAAATTCAAAATTTGTAAATTTTTTTCTTTCTAAATCAAATAATGCCATTTCTATCTACTGTATTTTAATTAGCAAAGGTTTTTTGAAAATGGCATGGTACATACTCACAGAATGACTCAAAAGTGTAACTTGGCCTGTGATTTTTCTTTCAGAGAACAGAATACACTAATTCAAATCCATTATTGAAAAGCAGATAACGTGCACTTTCTGAAATGCCTGTGACTTCACTCTTTTGATTTTATGTAATTATAAGAGAATGTTCATATGTATTTGCTTTTCAATTGGCACAGCATTTTAAAACTGGCTGTCTTCAGATAAAGTGCATATTTTCTTTGGTTCATAAAGAATATCACGGGTTTATGCTCAAAACTTTTGTTAATGTTTTATAATGCAGTCACAGTGTAGTTTATAGCTGTGCTTACAATAAGAATTTCTATGTGTACCCTCTATATGTAGAGAAAAATATTAGATATTAGTTTGGATTTTGAAATTAATAACTGGTAACTAGAACCTATGCCTTTCTACTCTGTTATCTTGTAGCTTCTATAAGTTCTCAAGCAAACTTTGAATTCAATATTTTTTCCAAAATTTGCAGCTCAAAGTAAATATTTTTCATTTAAACTAATTTCAGGTAACAAAATAGGGAAAATACCATCCACTTAAAAATAGCTTAAATTGCATGTACTTTGTCCCAGTAAATAAACAAGGTAAACATCGACATGACTTCAAATTATTCTTGGGTTAAAAAAATGGGCAGTTCAAAATAGATTCCACCTTTGGTCAACATTTTGGATGCAATTCAAAGTTTCTCATAAAATAAACATATTTTAAAGAGTGTTTTGAATTTTACTGCATAATTTCTAGCCAACAAGTGACAGTGGTATCTTTAAAGTTTATTACATGTCAGATCAATAGCCATTATGCAGAGCTAACACAATCATCAAGATGCAGTATCATCCCTCTACTTAACCCTTACTACTGTGACATGAAGTAAAACTTCCCATAGGTGGTCCATGAGGAAGTCATCTCACAAATCACAAAGTGAAACTTTCGTGTTTGTTTAACAATAAAAGTATTCTTTTCTGATAAAATGGAATGTGAGCTGGATTTTTAGTCAAGAAAGCAAAATGTTCACTTAAGTAATCCCCATGAGAGTTTTTCAACAAAAGGGGGAGAATTTTACATTCTGCATAACAAATTGTTTTGAAGCATGAGCTTAAAATGAAAATGCCCCATTACAACAGATTGTAAATTTTTTTCTGATGCTTTTAAAAGTGCCTCGATCATTTCTACGGCTACATTGCTAAAGTTAAGTATTTGCTATTTTATTTAAACATTTTTGAGAAATGAACATTCTGAGGCTTTGCAGCATTATTAAGAAAAGCTGTCCATACTTTACCATGTTGTTACATTTGTTTATCTGCTGATTATAAAATGTGTTAAACAGTATTTTAAAAACAAAAAAAAAATGCAGAGCTGCGCTTTGATTAATTCAGTGAACAAAACATATGCTGTTGGTTCTGTTCTATGAATTTCATATATGATCAATAAAATCTTTTAAAAGAGCAACTTTGGCTTTTAAGATTGTACTGCCGACCGTGATTTTTTGCCCTAGTTAACTCTGGGCTCGTACTGTTAACTTAGGCAAACAAAACCCTTTTCTGGCTATTATGGTAATGTCTTTTTAATATATTCTTATCCTTTCTAAAATTTCTTTAGGTTGGAAGCTGTGTACTGTGGTTGTTACCCAGTTTGTCCCAAAGATCTGGTTTATCCTGAGATATTTCCAGGTAGCTGCTTTAATTTTCATCTCTGTTGAGATTTAATACATGATTTATGCTAAATTAGAAAGTTTGAAAATAAACTTAGGCAGGAGCAATTGTTTATTTGGCAAGTCAACATGTTAGTGTTAAGGAAAATTTTATGTGTTTTAATACATTAGAGTAAGCTTATATTTACCATCTGTTCTTTTAAGATAACAAAAAAGCAAGTTTTCAAATAGCATTCTTCATTGTTAGCATACACATCCCATAATGATAGGTTTTTATAAGCAGGTCAGTGTTGCTGCAATTGCTTACAGATTTTTTTTAATGATATACACAGAGAAAAATCAAGGACTGAAAGTCACACCAAATTATTTAAACAATTGACTAGCTAATAATATGCAACTGTTGTACAGGGTACATACGGCTATAGTACCAATTCTTTGAAACAATTCTCATCACTAAATATATCACATATGCATTGTGTTACATTAGAATAATGTATTTTAATCACCCAAAGGAGATGTCTAAACAGCACAACTACACAGTCTTATTTAGCATTAAACATCCTTGTGAGCTGAGGTAACCTTATAAAATCATGCTTAAATAATGTAAAACACGAGGCGGCACAGAGCAATATGCATTTTTAATTAGTAAAGTGACTAATATCAAGTGTGTGCTTTGAGGTTTTTGTTTCATTAAAAATGTATCTGTTTTTCCTGCAGCTGAATATCTGTATTCTACACCTGAACAGCTTTCAAAAAGGCTCCAGAATTTCTGCAAGAGACCAGATATTATAAGAAAACATCTCTATAAGGTAGTTATTGAGAAGAGATTTACATGGTATGAATGCCATATTGAAGTACAAAGAAAAATCTTTAAAAAAAAAAAAACATTTAATTAACATACTAATGTTTAAAGGAAACATGCTAGGGAGGGATATTAGTTGTTACACTAACAAGGATTAATTAAACTGGATGCCAGTTGTATTAACCTAGGTCTTATGAAATACGTGCACTTAATGCACGGTACATGCTTTTTTTTAAATTTACTGTTTTCTAAGATAACTGTCCTTTACATTTAGCCCCACGAGGCTTATAAAAATGAACCTGGATTAATGTAACTCATTAGTTTAAAAGGAAGTAAAGGAAAGATTCTACAATTATACTAATGAGGATAAGCCTTTCTTCCCATCATAATGAAATCTTTAGTCCTCAAAAATTCAGGTGAATGACATTAGTAAAGTTTGGAGTTCATTTTTGAATTACTATAAAGATGATTTTCCAGAACTGAATATTTCCCTTGTCCAGTTTAATAAAATGATATAAAAATCCTCAGTTTGCTTAGAATTAGACTGTTGGTTTCATCTCTGAATGGCAAAGGCAAAAGGAAAACAGTATAAATAGCACCATCATTCAGTTCCCTCATTCATTATCTTTTTTCCCTTATTTGAATCAAGAATTGTACATTGTCGAAATAACAACACAAAGAGGCCCTACTAGAAGTCTAAGTAATTGAAGTAGGATAAATCTGCTTTACGAGTTGAAGGTGGCTCTAGGCCATGAGTAATATACCTTTTTATATTCTTTGAATGTAGCATCTTCATTTTACATAAATTCAGTATAGTTTACAACCCAGCAGTTTTATAATCCAGCATATTTTAATTTTCCTATGTTAATATATAACCTTCTATATGAAATACAGTTCTCTGCCTTTTTTCTTTCCTTTTCCTTTTCATGGCCTAAAATACATATTTACATAGTGATACATCAAAACATGACTTTGTTTCTGCAGGAAACAGTTAAACTTCAAGAAAAAGGGAGAGAACCAAAAATGCAATTTAACACCCAATTTCAAGCTCATTATCTTTCATTGTCTATTAACTTGGCAATGGTTCAGAAGGTAGCTCATAATAGTTTAAAATGCTGACTGAACAGTTCCAGACTTCAGTATTACTCCTTGAGTCAATACTATTGTATTGTATACACAGGAAGCTTCACAGAGAAAACAGTCCTCCAAGGTTTACCTCAATATTTCCTAATTTCTAAAATTCAGTAGCAGTTTTCTTTGTATAAAATATTAGTCAAAAGTTTCCCATGTGATCCACTGTCAAAATATGCAGATTATGAAAACTGAAGAAATAGAATGAGTACAAATGGATTCATTTTCTGTATATGACACAAAGCTATTTTCAGTGAGTTCACAGTCATATTATTGTTTTATTTCTTTTTTTTTCCTTCAGGTGTATTTTTGGTGAAGTATTTGTAAACGTGTTTCCATGAACAAAATTTATCAGTTTTTAATGTAACTCTCGTTTAGGCCTTATTAACCCTGTTATTTTGCATCTGCAAATTTTTAATCATTTCAAAAGTTACTGCAACAAGTTTCTTCTAGTGAGAAGAGAAAACAGTTCTCCAGCTGAAATATTTTAATACAACTACTGCCATAAGACAGCTATAATTATTTATTTTACAAACAACTTCTGGAAAAATTCTGAAAGAATGTCACTTAGTGGTATGCTATAAATATACCAAATTGTTCCTCCACAGCTTAAAAGATAATCTATACCATAAATGTTATTTCACTAAACTATTACATGTTAGTACTCACATATATCTTTAGTTTGTACATCATAAAAGTCTCCATGTCAAAGTTTTGTAAATTAATAATTCATGCATAAGCATTTATAAGAATTTATATGTGTAATTTATTTTGAAGTATTTTCTACCATGGATTGTTTTCCTATAAAACCATAATAACATATGTCTTTAGTCATAGATCTTAGTGATATTGTATCTGAAAATTAATCTCAAAATTTAATAAATTAGTCCAAAATTATAAGTGAATTATAAGTGATGAAGAGCTTTATGATACAGTTATTAGGAAAAATTGGAATGTTGCAAGGTATTGACTTGAAATCAAAGGAAGGACCACAGATTTAGTTTGTTTGTGGTAATAGGATTTAGAGCCAAAACAGAAAAAGAATACCTTCCAAAACTTTATAATTAAAATATAATAAGTTATGATAATTTTACACCTTATGCTTTATAAATATGCACATTTTCAGGTAGCATTTGCTTTCTTTAAATCCAAGAGAGTTATTTTCTCTAAGGCAGCTTTTTACCTACTTTTTTCTTATGCAGTGGAAAAGGATCTTTTGTATGTCCTGTAAAGAGAATGTTGGGTTTGTTTTTTTTTAAGATTTATTTCATTGAACAGTGCTGTTTTGCTTTTATAAAACATATGCTTCTAGGATCTAAATGATAGAATGTCACTGAATTCTTTAATTTGTTCCTTTTACATTTTTACACCTTACTCTTTTTTTGTTGTTAAAAGTTTACATTTTAAAATCATTTCAACTTCTTATCATATAGAGTTCACTTTAGGATACGATTTTTCATATGGATTCACACTTAGAAATTTAATGACTAGAATAAGGCTACTAACACTTGGCTTTCTTCTCACATAAGACGTTATACTTTCAATATGAGTGAGAGTTTTGGGGCTATAACTTAAAGCAGGATTTGAAACAGAATGCTAGTAACTGAAAAGCAGAAACAGAATTTACTTTTTTTCTTAAAGTGACTCTTTCTACTACAGAACACTGTGCACTGTGTCCATGACTTCTCACCTGAAATTGTTTCAGGCCTGAAATGTTAAAATCCCTTGTGTTCATACAAGTGTTTCTCTCTCTCTCTCTCTCTCTCTCTCTCTCTCTCTCTCTCTCTCTCTCACACACACACACACACACACACACACACACGCACACACACACACACTTAGGATCTTTAGAAAAATTCAACGCATGCAAAAATTAAGTATTGCTTAATAATGTTAAAATCTAAAACTATTTTCTTAATTTTAAAAAACTTAAAATCACTTAAAAAGTTTACATCTGTCGTTTAGTCATTGACGATAACTTTCTTATCAGGACACATCATTTTCTAGGTCGGGCAGATGCACTGAACACGTACTGTCACATAGATAAAATACGGAGCTCTTCTGTGACTCCCAAGCCTACCTTGAACACAAGTTTCTAGAAGTAATCATAAAATAAGCAGCCACAGATTGACTTCTTACACTAACAACAGTTCTCCCTTTCCAACCCAAGCAAGCCTTAATACTGTGAAGTTGTATTTTTTTGCCTCAGTTTTACTGTGTGAATTTACTTACTGAAAGTTCTCAACAATAATTTGAGATCAGAACTTCATGCTTTTAGAGAACCTTGATCATTATATTTAAAAGGCTTTAGAAAAAAGCTTTTATGGATATTCTCTGTTACCAGTATTGAAAATACTAGAAGACTACAAATGGGGCAGTTGTATAAGGTAGACATCGCTCAGAATAACAGAAGAGATTTTCATTCCTATCCTATTTTTCATTTACTTTTATTTACAAATTAAATGATATCATGTGGTTGAAAAAAAAGAGATGCCATCTTTTCTTTTTGCTTTTTGAGGGTGAACAACAGTTGCTTAAAATTTTTCAGATGACAGCTATTGATTTTTATTTTATTCTCCTCTTCGAGTGTTTCAGTACTGAAGAAACTTTTGTAACCTCTGTTATTTCAAGAGAAGAATTTTCAGATTCCTGTCTAAAACTAATTCCAAACAAAAGGTTAAGCTTACAATTTAAATTTGATGCCCAGAAAAGCCATTTGTGGTTGTCTTAATTATGTCAAGCTATATCTACCCGAATCTCAGCCAAAGCCACTTTGTTTCCTTCAAAAGACTGGTCACTTTACAGTCCCCTTTTAATTTGAGCTTATACTCTGGATGTGAATAAGGTGCTCCTCACTGGTTTTAACACTCTTCCAATGTCCTTACATTAAAATGAAAACTTAAATGCTTGTGACATTTTAAGAACTTATAAAATCTCTCAGCTGCACCAGCCCAATTTAAAGCACATTCTCAGTCTCAATCTCTTACTCTTTCTCTCTCCCCTACTCTTCCCTCCCCCTTTTTTTTCCTTTCCCCCCTTTCTTCTTCACTCCCTCGTTTGATTTTATTTGGTCTCCTTTTCCTTTGATTTGTCTAAATAAAATAAAAGCAAAAACCTTTAGCATAATAGATATGGTTTGGGTGGTTAAAATCAGAAGTTTTGGCATCTTGTCCTCTGCTAGTCCTTCACAGCCTAACTCTAGGTGATTTTCCTAGCCTCTATATGATTCCTTGGTAAACGTGGAAGAATTTTTAAAAATCTTAATAGTATTTTCCCCCTGAGGTGTTGCCATAATGAAATAATGAATATAAAGCCATTTGTAAACATGAAGCACTTTATAAATTCCATGTAATAATAATGACATTTATCTTTGAGTCTTCACCACTTAAAAGTAAAATTCATATTAGCAAAATCATGTATTTAAGAGTGTTATGTATCTTGTATTTACAAAAGTTAAAAGTCAGACGATAAACTTCTAATAGCTCCCATCCATAACATAAACTAGGAAATGTGTGTGCAGCAGAATGCACCCATTTGCAAAAATGGTAGATTTATTTGATGGTTGGAAATACAGTTACACTTTAAACCAATCAGAAACTGGGATTTCCTAAGGTAATGAAGTAACTGGAGAACCATTTACTGTGGCTTTTTGAAATATAACTGACATAAGTGATGCAAATTTGCAATGTGAATTTCAGCATACTTTAGTCTTTCAGTCGTTAATGCTTCTTCATTTCTTCCTCTTCTCTTCCTCCCCCTTGTTACAGGGTGAAATGGCTCCGTTTTCTTGGGCAGCGCTACATGGTAAATTCAGGTCTCTGCTTACAACAGAACCTAGGGAAGATTTGTGACAGATGGGTCTAAGTCACAAACTTGCAGCCTAAGGCAGAATCTGAAGAACTTTCCAGAGTGTGCCCATATTTACCTGATCAGAGAGAAAAGAAAATCTGCAGAGGAAGCTGAGCCTGGCTGCTTGTCATAGCTGACACAGAGCCATCTGCCACAAACCTGTGGCGGCTTCAGATCTCCAATCCCTGCCACCACCCCAACTCAAATTAAATACAGATTCCTAGAGACGTTATGATGGTTACACATGTCCTCGGCATCACATGTAGGAGACTGTTCAAAAAAAATATGTGGCCTGTTGTATAACCGCACTCATGTATCCCATATGTGGTGCCACATTGAATTTCCGGTTGAATCCGTTTTTATCCTTTGTACTGGATGACATGGTGCCTGAATTCTTTCTTTTCGCCGACACGATGGCAGCCAAACTGCAGCTTCAAACGCTCACACTTGGCTGGGTTTCTACCTAGGTTGCCAGGTTATCATCGGACCCTTCTTGTGTCCTCAAAGGGCCACAGGGCCTGAAAGGAGCAGCAGAGTGCTACCGGACTAATTGGGCAGCCATCTCAGAACTGTTTGTGGGCAAAGGGCTGCTTTTGCCCTTTTTTGTTAGCAAATTAATGAGTCTCTGGCACAGGGGTTTTAAGTAAGGTGTTAGTAAGGGGGTCTGGCAGGTATTCCCATGATTCACAAAGTTGCATTTGCATTTAATTAATCTTAAAGAAAGTTGCAAGATAAACAGCTGTAATTTGGACAAACATGACAAATACAGTAAGTGGGGCCATCTCACTCATAAAATGAACACTGAGATACTTGTTTTAATTTTTTTCCGGGGGTAAAAAATAGAGAAGTCAAAATACTTCTAACAAAACTCATAATTTTGAAATAGTATTCCTCAAAAATATTTGCACCCACCTACAAAAATGTATCTCTTCAAGATAAATCACTTATGATTCCAATAGTCAAGCTGCTGTATTTGTCATTGTAAAGATGTTTTGAACAGCTAGATTGTAAAATAAATTTTTAATAAAGTGGCCGCTGCAGTTTTTAATTAGCATATTCATTTACGTGTAAGTCTGTACATCTTTCTGTACGTTTATCACTGAATGCTTTTCTTGTGTCAGAGACAACGAATACAATTGTTTCTTTTCCGGATGAACAAGGATCTGTTTTGCAAATGTTTGTAAGATATTATGACATTTCCAAGATTTTCTTTGCATTCTGGAAAGCAGGAGGTAAACATTTGTAGTCATTAAGGTAAAGTCTGTTGATAAACCATCTTCTGTTTACTGACAGGTAAATTGTAACTTTCCTAGCTTTTGAATGAATAACTTCTATCCACCACAGAGTGAGGCTCAGTCAGGGAGAGTTGGCTAGACAGGGGCCGAGCCTAGCTCTCTGGCTTCTAAAAGGATTGAGTGGCCAAGTAGGCATCTAAGATAGAGCAGGCAATGGTGCAGAAGTCCACCAGGGCCCATTTGAGAGACAGCAAAATCGAAAGTAGGAAATAGACCAAGGTTAGGGAGCCAGACACAGCCCTCGGGGTAGAGGTAGTCTTGCAGACCAAAGAAAGCAGTTCAGAGTCCATGAGGCCTGGGAATTTAAAAGCAGGAAAAGTAAGAAACAGAAACAACAAGCTCTGTCTTTACCAGAGACTCTTCTCCCCAACCAGTATGAGATTCATAAAGTATGATGGGCCGCACAGCATCTGAACAAATTACCTCAACCGTGAGACAGAGGGCTCAGGAAATATGTCAAAGTCCCTTCCAATCTAAGACGATGGAACTCAGAATCTAGCAGGTATGTTCCTTTTGAGAACAAAACTAAAGATAGGAATATGAATAAGAAGTTGTCAGAAACTTCTGGGCAATGTTATACTTTATACCATCTAATGAGATGAACCAGCTGAGTCAGTTTGCTTCAGGCAGAAAGGTGCTGTGTCACAGATGACATCTTCACAAGATAATATTATAATCTCACAGCCAAGAAATAGTGCTTAGTTTACTGTTTTTCTATCCTGAAAATAATGGGCTCATGTTTTATAGTGGATAAGATTATATGCACAACAGCTATCCATATATGTTTTCTCACTAATTGATGGGGGAAAAAATGTTAAATATCTTTCAAAGACTATATCTGAAACATTAACATGTTTTCCTGATTTTGGCTAATATAATTTTGAAATGTGGGGTTTTTTTGTTTTGTTTTGTTTTTTTTCCTGCACCATAAACTCAAATCAAGTCCTGTGTTTACCTGTGCCCAGCATTCTTTCCAGGATAAAAACTTACATTCAAGGTGTCATTTATGAAAACTATGCTGTCAGAGTTGGTATTAGTGCACATAAGCCATAAAAAGTTTTGTAAATGTATAATTCTTAACATTTAAAAAGGTGCAACTGTATGTGTATGTGAGAGTGTATGTATGTCACGTGCTTCTAAACACCCATGACATGATGGAATGTAGTACTATTAAGTTAACCAGTATTTTGTTGAAGTCAGTAGATAATTGGGAATATAAGTTGACTCAATTCCTGAATCCCTTATTTTCACAAAAGAGATCAAATACCCCCATTATTTCTTGTTTTGAGTATGTTTGTTGAAAATATTGGTCTTTCTCTTTTTAACACTAAATTCTGTTAATCTTATTCTTTTAAATTAAATCACCTTTGGGCTGGCCCAGTGGCGCACTCGGTAGAGTGCGGTGCTCGGGAGCGCAGCGGCGCTCCCGCCGAGGGTTCGGATCCCATATAGAGACCGGTCTGCTCACTGGTTGAGCGCAGTATGGGCGTGACACTGAGGGTTGCAATCCCGTTACTGGTCACGAAAAAAAAAGACAAAAAGGAAAAAAAATAATAATAATTAATTAATTAATTAATTAATTAAATCACCTTTAATTTTAAATATCTTTAAAAGTCTGCTCATTATCAAGACCTTGATATAGTATCTAGGATGCTTGCCCTAAATTTTCATCTGTGTTTCTGAGTAGGGATTTCTTTAACAAATAACAGGGCACTTAATTCTTAACCTACTCATTTATACTATGTTGATCAGGCATAGATCAAAAGACCTTCTTCAAAATGCTCGTGGTTTAGTAAGCATCCTTAAAACATAATGAAGTTTGAATGTCCTGCTCATGTTCTCCATTCTTCAGACATGCCACATAAAGATGGCAGCAGAATCTATAAGTCAGTGGGAACCCTTAGCCATAGAGGGCTGCACAGATTAACTTCAACACTTTGAAATGCATCTGGAAGCAAAGATTTCATTTTATGTTGAAGGTGTTAATTATAATTGATATTTTTCATAGTAAAATCTGGTTTTGAGAAAGCTTCTGCTACCCAGAAATATAACAAGCCACAAAAGAAATTTCATTTAGGTCTCAAGATACTTTCTGTGGATGATAGAATCTGTTTTCAAATGATAGTCCATGCGATCTTTTAATTCTGACTTATTCTGTGATACTTATTTTTGTATTGACTCTTGGCAAGTATTGCTCTATCTGGCTTTCTGTTTCCGTGGCAAATAAGGAAGTATTTAATATCAGATCTTGTGATTAACAATGAAGAGAGTATATGTCATGAGCCACTGACTTGAGCATGTTTCATTTTTAAGTTGGAATTGAGATGCAGGACAACTAATGCTTCTATAATACTCTTTCCCTTCAAAACTACTAAAATGTAACTGGGAAAATTTTTAAACATGCAAGCAATCCTACATGTTGCTCAAAGATATGTACCTATATGATTAAAGTATTACAAAAAACATGAGAATTAACACCAACTTTACAATAATGGTTATGTCAGAAGAGTGACGGTGGAAAGAACAGGTCATAGAAGTAGGGAGAGGCACATACACTGTATGATTAATGGTCTGTTCCTTGAGCTGACTCATGATACATAAAGGTTTATTACTACTCCTTATGATTTTTTACATCTTAAGTGTTAAGTATACCTTTTGATAGGAGTTGTAAATACTTGGGGAAGGTTGTAGTTAGTTTTGCTACCATGCCATCCTTAACGTTTCTGGACTTCCTAAACTATTGATTGAGAGTCAGTGACAGAAACTGCATGAGAAGACCTTTCTCTGCTTACCAGGAGTCAAGGATTTAATCTTGACTCTGAAACAAATAATACTATGAAGACAGTCAGATGTGACTGTCCCTGGGGTCGTTTTTCTTGGGGCTGCTGGTCTTCATTTCTATCTAATGCCCCTGGCATTACATTTATAAGATGGAAAACTATAGCTCTATAAACCCCCTTCGAAGGGAAATGAGAGCAAGATGAAGGCAGATGCTAAATGAGCCCTGTCTTTTCATCTTGAAAAACTCAGAGCTGTGAGGTATAACACAAGAGCTCTCCAGAGCTCCTAACCACACTGCCCACTTCCACCTGTCCCATTTCCTCTTCAAGAGACAGGAGTGAGTTGTGGTCTCTATGCTTTCACTGCAGTCTATCCCATGGGAAGGGATTGCTCCCCAGTATCTTTAGGATGCCCTCGCTGTGTAGGAGGCATGTATGGCTTCAGGGACCAGGATCCCCACTCGCCTGCAGCCCATTTTTCTATATTGGAATTTGGGATCAGCATCTTTAGTGGTCCTCTCATTATCCATCATTGCCTAAGTGACTACTTTATTCCTTCCTGAAGCTCTGTATGGTAATGAGTTCCAACAGTAGAAGAGGTTCCTAATTGTTTCCATAAATTGATATAAGGAATTGATGATTCTTGGAAGATCATCTAAAACACTTCTATTACTCTCTTATCAGTTATTGCATTTAAGTAGAACTCCTGAGATGGAGTGCTAGAAGATGTGACTCCTGCTAGGATACTTGTGTAACCTTTCTCTAGAAATTTGAAGTCCTTTATATTGGAAAATTTAATGCTTCCAATATCATTTCACAAATGAGAAAATTAAGGCATCATATAGTGGCATATTTAAGAGGCAGGGTATGTTACAGAAACAGAAAAGACTTTTTTCATAAGCCTTTCTCTGCATGGGATGTGGTCACTGTAACCTATGTGCCTTTCAGGAAGTGCCGAGTTCCGTGTGCATGACTCTCCTAGTTCCCTTCTATTTGTCTCCCCACAAGGCAAAAGACAGTAAAGGGCAGCAGGGGGTTGCTTTGTGGTCCTCATTGTTGGTGTTAAAAGAGACATGAGAGAGCATGTAGTGCAGCCGATACTTAAAGTGTTTTATTTTTACTATTATTCCACCTTTAGGGAGGCATTCAGTCTGTACACCTCACCCATCACAGGCTCCTGCTGTTCCCTGTGGTCTTAACACTCTGCTGGATCCATCATTTAGGCAACTTCCCTGGCCCTCCTGGGTAAGCATTTATTTTTGTAACCTCTTCATTTTAGATGTCGGGAAACTGAGGACCTAAGGAGAAGTGAACTTGCTTTGGATTTTAGGGTAGAGGCAGGTGTAGAGCTCAGATTTTCCATGGCTCTTTCAGTAGGCTGTTGTCGATTCAATTGGCCAAGACCACCCCTTAAAAAAGGGGAGGGGAAAAGTTTGTCTCCTCTTTCTTCTTTATCCTGCCTCTCACTATCAGAAAAAAACATGGATTAATAAATTGCTAGTAGCTTACTGTAGATTTATTTCAAGTTACACCTGCCCGTATTTGTATTGTAAATGACTATAAGGAGAATTCAAAAGAATTGATTTCTTATCATAAAACTTCAGACTCTGTGGCACCTGTAATATTTCTAAACAACTGACTATTGCCTTTCAAATCATATGATGAAGTTGCTCATCCATGTGGAGAGAAGACTTTATTCAAAAGGCAGCCCCGTGGCCTTACCTGGTGCAAAGCGCTGAAGAGTAGAGGGAGCAGGTGGCGGAAGCAGCACCTTTAACTGTGCAGCGCTGGGCCTCCTTCCTCTCCTCCAAACAGATCACCCAGAAATTACATCCTGAAACTTACTTCCTGGGAAAGAAAAGGAAGGGGAGGGAAAACTTAAAAAGATACTTCTAATGTGGTATTAGACTGCAATTCATAGGGAAATTTATGCCTGAGATATGAATTTCTGAAAACAGGTTCTTTTAAAGGGAACCACTGACACA